CGAAAATTATTTGATATTGATCACAGCAATTGTATTTTCGTCAACCTTAGTTTCAATTGTTGATGCCATACAACTTTTGTCTCGAACGTTTTTGTACTCAACAAATACATTTTGGTGACACTAAACTACTCACCCTGTACATTATTGAAAATAACCAAACAGAATGAACTGAAATTTTGCCCTCGTGTATTCGATAAATAAAATACTGTGACTGATTTTAAAATGAATTCTCTCGGATTGATCGTGTAACAGGCGTTCGATATTAAGTGACCATTCAAAGTGTACGAACAACTGCTCAATCCTCGTTGCGTTATTTATCCCGAGCGTCGTGATTTTCATGTGCATCGTATCGCATTAAGCTTTTATATTATTTATTAATCGAGCCTGTGCGTCGTTACATTTCAGTACAATTGCCGGCCTTTAACCCTTTGCAGATGAAGCTTCTTTAAAGTACACAAAATTCTTGGCAGATGAAACAAAATTCTAAATGGAATGCTTAATACATTGTTGACCGGTCACGAATTAACTCGTGTTTTCATCCCCAAATCTTGTTGACCGGTAACGAGTTAACTCGTGTTTGCACTTGCATTAGCTATTTCCATTTTTGAAACGCATGGGAATATAGAATATTACAAAAGCAAAGTATTCAAAGTTATATAAAAAATATGTCGAAAGATTCATTTCAAATTATGTAGAAATAAAATATATTAAAGTTTATTTAGATTATTTTACTTTCATAGTTAATTACGGAATAATAACTAGTGACATGAGATAAATTCTGCGTAAAATTGCCGGTCAACATGTTAACACTAAAACTATCGGACGGGTCAAATTAACCCACTTCGGAATTTTCATTTTGCAAGTATTTAAATTATGTTGGCATTTTTGCGAAAAATCTTTAATTAAATTTGTCTGTTTGCACAGATACAAGACTAGGAGGCCCTTTGAATCTCAAGAAACGTATTCTTCTAATTTTTATTAAAAATTAGAGATAAGTTACTCTAATTGCTCGATAGTTTTAGTGTTAAACGCTCAATGTACAGCTCCATGACATAGGCGAATACGACGGATTGATAAAGGACAATATCGAACTTCAATAATTTATCTAAGTTCGACGCCATGTTTGACCTTTTATGTATAGAAAGAAAGCTTCCGTGACGAGGAATTAAATGATATAAATGGAAACATGAGTAATGGTTGACTTGAAGCTCGTATATAACGTTGCATACCTAGAAAATTTGTCTATTAAGGGTTTAAGTAATAGGAAAATCTTTAAGTAATAAGATCTTTTACTGTTTGAGTACTCAATTCGTTTGTCTGTAATTTGGTATTCCAAATATGAAAATTTAATCTCGCCAAAGTATTGATATTCGTCGCCAAAGGGTTAAATTGTCCTAAATAAACAAGTGATAGAGTTATCTGGGTAACAAGCTTAAAATGCTACTTGCAAGTAGTATACTGAATTAGAAAATGTACATGTTACGTGTAAATGAGAGATCCAGTAGAAGACGAAGCTAAGCCACGATAGTAATGCTTTCTTGAAAAGTTTGGTTTCAATAGAAATTGTATAATTGGGATTACAATTTTTTTTATTTAATCTATGGTTTAATTTATGGTAAAATATTGGGAGAATCTCTTATTTTTTATTTTATTTGCTATATACTTTTTCAAATATTGAAAATTAGACTAAAAAGGCACGTTGCAAAAGCTATTCTGGTTAAAGAAATATTTTATTTAAAGGTATTTCATTTATTTATTTATTATCATTATATTCGAGTATGTAGGAAAATGTATAAAGTTTTGCGTAAACTTTATTCTTACATATGTTCTTTCTCGTTGTTATCTTTTCGTG